AAATGAAATAAATTAGTAAACTAAAAAGAATTAATATATGGCTTTTTTATATAAAAATAGCAAAAACGATTGTTAAAAACATCTTCAAAGAAATGAAGAAAGTATTAAATTAATACCTAAAAAATTAAAAAATTAAAAATAAAACTTTTTAAGTTTCTCCAGAAAATAGAGGGAAAATGGGTACAAAAAGGAAACATATGCAAAACCTAGGGGGAGAAGACAATGAAAGATTCAACTGCAAAAAATGGTGAATTTGAAGAAAACTCTAACTAATACTCAAACCCAGATCTTTTTTATCAATCATCATGTTTTCTCTCTTAGCAAACAAGATCCAGGAAACAAAGTTTGTTTCAAGATTTCAAATTTAAGAAGAAAAAAGGAGAAAAGTTGCTGGGTTCTTTTGAACCCAACGGCTATTGGGTCCGAACCAAGCACTAGGTTCGGACAGCACTAGGTCCAGTGGGTTCAAACCCAGTGAAGCTTTTGAACCCAATAGCTATTGGGTTCGAAGGAACCCAACAACAGTTATTAGATTCAATTGAACCCAGCGGCTACTAGGTTCAAAGTTCTTAGCTCTGCTTCCTTGCTTCGCCTTAGGGATCTCAAATAGTTAAGAAAAGTATAAGGGTTTGCAGAAGGCAAAGGAAGGGAAGAGGAAAGAGAACCCAGATTTGGTGTTGGGGAAGGGAGAGAGAAAATGTAAGAATTTAGATTTTAGAGGTTGAAGATAAGGGTAATATAGTCATTTTATTATGTTTAGAGATTATTTAGATAATTTTTTTTTGGCAAGTCATGTATTTTGCTACATTATAAATGTCATGTCTTTATTTATTTAAAAAAGATATGCCCCTATGGTTAGTTAACATGTTATGTCAACAAAAATTTAGCGGAAGGATCAAGTTGGGTAAAAATAGTAAACAGTAGAGACTAAATCAAAGATTTTTTTGATTGAGAGACTAAATCAAAAATTTGTACAATAGTTGAGGGAGCAAAATGAAGGTTTAACCTATAAAAAACTATTCTTATATCGCTGCCCTTTGGTATTTGTTTGGATGATGAGGCAATCTACAGCCACTCAATAACGGGACGTAACGGCCACAAATTGCCGCCACTTCACTGAACCAATACAAAAATAAGTAGCAAAAATAAAGCCAAAAATACGGAAAACCAAAGATGCTTAGCAGGGTGGCAGTTTCTGTTCCTGCTGCTTCTTATTCTGCTGCTGCTACTGCTGCTGCATCTCCATCTCTAATCCCATTGAACCCATATCATTTTTCCTGCCAAAAAAAGGCCAAAATCCCCAGATTCTTGGGTTTGAGAGTCAGAGAGGTCTCTTGTGTAAACCAGAGAAGCATAGGATGGGGAAGAAGCAATTCCCGGAATAAGTCTGGTAGGATGGAGAGTTTTACAGTCAGGGCCACGGCTCAACCTTTGAAGAACGCCGACGAGTTGATTGATTCGGTGGAAACTTTCATCTTTGATTGTGATGGTGATGATTGATACTCTTTCTTCTTTTTGTTTAATTAAATTGTTAAATGCTTGATTTTTTTTTTTTTAATTTGAATGAATGTTTTCTATGTTTGTGCGCCGAGTTTGGAATACTTTGAGCTACTTGATGTGTTTAGCTATTGCAAAGTTTTGAACCTGCCCTGGAATTAAGTTTTGAACATGGTAGTTTTGAACGTGCCCCAGAATTAAGGTTTGAACATAGTAGATGCCAACTCGATCAAGTTCTAGATAGATTGAAAGTTAGATTCGATTCGGTCATAAAGGCGTTGGCTTGAGAGCTCTGTGATTATTAGTCTGCCAATCCATTGTACTGAAAATTCCAACCATGGAGGAAACAGTAAAAAGGGAAATGTCTTTGTGACTGTTAGGAATGGTTAGCTACTTAGCTTCATTTAGGAACTGTGAGTCAATACACTTCATAGCAAGTGCATGGAGCGGAAGCAAGTTACAATTCTTGAGTTGGTTCATCGCTTTCCATACTTTCTCTTCTCCTTCTCCGCAAGAATACTTAGTTTTGGAATTCAGATTGCAAGTCTAAATTATGTGCCTTGAAAAGAGATGTACAAATTTCCTAACTGGTTTAGTTGAAAGTTGAAATGCATCATTATGTCTTGATTGAAAATGATTCTCAATTTTTAGTAGCCTGCTGGCTAAACCCGAGCAAAAAGTGCAAGGGGCATAAGGGATTTTGAAGAACTTGTACTTTTTGTGAGGCATCGGTTTCTTTTTACTTCTGAATTGTTACATGTTTTATGTTGCAACATACAATAAGTTGAGCTTTTATTTTTATTTTTTATTTTTATGATGGTGGAATGACTAAGATATTGCACTAATCAATCTTGCAGGAGTTATATGGAAGGGAGATAAATTGATTGGTGGAGTCCCTGAGACTCTTGATATGCTCCGGTCAAGGGTTTGTATTTCCTTGAAAATTTTTGTTGAATGAAATGCCTTGTTTCGCCTTTGCTGGAAAATTATTGATCTCCTGTTTTTCAGGGAAAGAGACTAGTTTTTGTTACCAACAACTCAACAAAATCTAGGAAACAATATGGTAAAAAGTTTGAGACACTTGGTTTGAACGTCACTGAGGTTAGTCCATGGATCTTCTCTCATACTGACTCCACTTTGCCAATCACGATTTCTGACTTAACTCAATCCTTTCAGGAGGAAATATTTGCATCATCATTTGCTGCAGCTGCATATTTGAAGTCCATTAACTTCCCAAAAGATAAAAAAGTACGTGTTATCATGCTCGGCTCCTGAGTTAGTGTTGTCATCTATAATTTTTTTTTTAGCCAACCATCTATAGTTGAATTTGTTCTTTATATTGATAAAATCCTTCAATATTTCATTCAATATTTAAATACGTTCTTTTGCTTTTTACTCTATTTCCTTCATTTTTTAACTAAAATACATGGCTAAGTGTTAAGATTGCAAGCAATGAAGTTTAAGTAGAAACTTCTAATGAATTTTTTCAGCAACTTAAGATGGTAATGGCATATAGATCATCATGGACTGATGACTGGGTATGATATAGGTTTATGTGATTGGAGAGGATGGCATCCTGAAGGAGCTTGAGCTTGCTGGATTCCAATACATTGGTGGGCCAGTATGTATGAATTTCATTTTAATATTTCACTAAGTATTACTTGGTTCCTAAAAGTGGAAGTATAACTGTAATGAATCACCCACCACTATATGGTGTTACAGTCTTTTAGTGATCAAGGTTCTAGTCTCTCTTTTTTTCTTTTTTTCTTTTTTTTTTGTTCTTGATATAATCAAAGTTCTAGTCTTGGACATTCATGTTCCTGCAATTAAAGAAATCAGGACAAGGTATGTAACTGTGTCTTGTGTTGATGGTAATTTCAAGCCTAAAGCTCAGCACGCGTGCACCTCATGTAGCAGGATTGAAGATTAAATCATATTATTTTCCCCCTAACAATGATCTAAACCTTACACTTTACAATTTTTGTAGGCCTTAGTCCACAGGCTGAAGGAGAAAACCCTAGCTGAGGGGAGGGTGATGGGAATTTTGCAGTTTTAATTAGCCATATAGAGCATTAGCACTGGACAATTGTGTGAAAATTTTCATTAAGACCTTTTTTAATTCAGTTAATGACACTTTCTATGGAGTTTTTGTTGTTGCATATATGCACTTTTATATGATTGTTTTATGGTCTTATTTTATTACCTATGTTTTACAGGAGGATGGTGGAAAGAAGATAGAACTAAAGCCAGGGTTTCTAATGGAGCACGATAAAGATGTAAAGCTCTTCTCTTTCTTGCTTCTTATCAGTTAGTTATTGGTTGGTTTGTCCATTGAATTCTTAATCTGTCCATTTGTTTCTATTGCTTGCATATAAAAGGCTCCATTAATTATGGCTTTTTCTTTCCAACTTTCAATCATGATAAATAATTGTTTGTTATTTATCTTTAGGTTGGGGCTGTTGTGGTTGGATTTGATCGTTATTTCAACTACTATAAAGTCCAGTAAGTTCTCCACCTCTTTGAACATTTGTATTCACCTGCACTAATATCCACTAACATGTACTAGAGAGATTTTAAAAAAAACACCCTTTTAGCACTAGAACTTTTCCCTAATTGAGAACTTGGAGAACGTTGAGTGCTTGTGGGGATGGGGGGAAGGTTCTAGGAGATTGAAAGCCACAGCCTATTTATCAATCTACTTGCATAGGATTGGCTAATGGCTTTCTTAGATATGTGATTTAGTGTAGTTTAGCAATATTTACCCACTTTTTAAAGCTAACATCCTCCCAGTTTTTGATCAATATAATTATATCTATTTTTTTATTGAATTTATAACTAATTTTTCCTTTCCCTGTGATGAAAGATATGGAACACTTTGCATCCGTGAAAACCCTGGGTGCCTTTTCATTGCCACAAATCGTGATGCTGTTACCCATCTGACAGATGCTCAGGAATGGGCAGGTTCTCTTCTCAACTGTACTTTTGCGTTAAATGTCACTATCTTCTGTCTTCTGATCTAACAAATCCCTTGCAACTCTTTCATTTCAAGGCAGTTATATCAGGGAATTCTTTTCTTAGCATGATATGAAAAGAATGTAAAAATTAGGTGATGTCAAATTGTTTGTGGTCAAGAATTATTTGTGTCTGTGTGTAGGTTAATCAATTGAATTATTATATTTGTTCATTCATTTTCTCAATTCCTTAATTCATTATACTGTTTTCTTGATGTCAGGAGGTGGCTCTATGGTTGGTGCTTTCTGCGGATCCACTCAACGTGAGCCACATGTTGTGGGAAAGCCATCAACTTTTATGATGGACTACCTTGCAAACAAGTATGGTTTCAAAAATTCCTTTTTATTGTTTCATATGTGACCCTTTTAGCAATTACACAAGGTAGTTGGCACTTAATGTCTACAAAGTCTGCAAAATTCCTGGGCAGTCTGCATATGTAAATGTAACCTGTCATACATCAAAATGCAGTATGTAGTGTATCATACTCTGTAGTGCTTATTCATGATTTAGTACTTCTTTTCAATTTAATGGGTAATAGGGAGGGCATGTTTGGAGCATTATAATTACACCCTTCTCCAGTATGATAAATTAACTTCATTTACAGGGAAGATAAACTACAATCAAGTATGGCACTATTATATGTTTTGTATGTCAATAATTGCAGACACTTTTCACATGTTGTATGGATGCAATTCAGCAGATACTTCCACAGGCAATAGCCTTGTTGTATATTGTTATCTGATGCTATTTTTTCATGTGAAATCAACAACAGATTTGGCATCCTCAAGTCACAGATATGCATGGTTGGAGACCGATTGGATACTGACATTCTTTTTGGACAAAATGGTGGTTGCAGGACTCTTCTTGTTCTCTCAGGTAAACAAATTACAAATTTCAGTACCATTCTTCTTCTTCTTGTTCGTTTACTTCCCTTTGGTTGTGGTACATAAGTAACCAAGGTTCTTCCTCTGTAGGAGTGACCTCATTGTCAATGCTCCAAAGCCCCAACAATTCCATACAACCTGATTTCTACACCAACAAGATCTCGGATTTTCTCTCTCTGAAAGCCGCAGCCGTATAATCAAATTGGTGTGTCTCGGGTAGAATATCATAATTATTCTGTCAAATATAACTTGCAGATAGCAATTTCCTTCTAATTTTCTGGATAAACATACTTGTTATGGATTTTGAGCCTCTTTTGAGATTGGATTGATGAAAGTATAATTCAACAACATCAATTGTTTATTTCTTTTTCATTAGTTGAAATTATACAAAAATGAATTCCTTTCAATCATTTGTTCACTTCATTGCAATACATCGGTTCTGCCTTCTTATTTCTTATGAGAGTTGCCATGTTCACTTGAAGAAGTGATTTGAAGTCTAGGGCCTAGCCTGTCCAGAGTTGGAAAATATGATTTTTCAAAGTTTATAGATCAGTTTGGGAGAAAATAAACTTTCTACACTAAAGCGGCAATAAGCTAATAGTTGACCCATCGTTAAATTTAGTAATTTCTTTCTCTCTGGTTTATCTTTCCCATCTTTGCAGTCAGAATCAAGTACAAGCCTCTATAGAGGGGCTTCGTGGCACTGTGGATTTGCCGTGGAGGAAAAGTTGCTTCTATAAACAGTTAAGTATAGAATTTTTGCATCTTTCTCACTCAGGTATAGAAATGATTCTTTTCCTTTTTGATTATCTTCATGTGTGCATTTTTGGGGCCAATTCTTCATGTCATTGTACGATTAAAACATTGGCAATGAGCAATGACAAACCCCCTACCCCATCTTATTCCCCTATCTTTTTCAAAAAAAATGAAAGCATCAACAATTTGGTTAGGTCTCTTGATTACTTTTTTTTTAAATCAAGAGTTTATCGGTAAAAAATATTTTAAAAGCTAAATATTTGCTTATTTTCCGTTTTAAATACCAACACATTGCTGCAATGTGTTGCTCTTGTAGGAGCAGCATTCAGAGCCATTTTGATAATTTGATATCATTCCAACAACAATTCAAGAAAACATCTCAAATATTGGTGCTTCAATTAAGATATCAATTTAAGTATGTAATCGTATTTTCATATTTGGACACAATTTTAAAGAAAACTATTTAGCTATGCCAATTTATTTTATTTCTTTGTTATTGTTTATAAGTTTAGAGACTACTTTGCCACTAAAAATTCAAGAGGGACTTTCTCCTTGATAGGAAATATTTTAATAGACTAATTTGCCCAATTTTTCCTATATAAGGCTATAATTATGGCCACCATTAAATTTGTCAAGCGATCAAATTTATTAAATATTAATTTTAATTTTAATTATTAAAATAATTAATAATTAATAAAATAGTTAATATTTATTATTTAACATATTGAAATCAAAATCAGTTCATAAACAAAATTTCCAAATATCATACCAAACCATTTAAGAAAAAATTATAAATTGATAAAATTATAGTTAAAATTGATTGATAGTTTTAACAAAATTTTTAGTGACAATAACATTAGTCCTATTTGGAAGGCTCTTTGGTTTAATGTTAAAATTAATAGTTAATAATTTCATTTAATTTAATGGGTAACGGTTTTTAAATTATTAATAATATGAATTATTGATAATATCAATTATTAAGTATTAAATTAAACAAAATTATTAACTATTAATTTAAAACAGCTATAGCGAATGGCATCAGTTTAAGGGTTAAATTCAGTTAATGTCCCTCTACTTTGCTATTTTGTCTCTTCTTGTCCTTGTACTAAGGAATTGTTCAATGCCATCCTTCTACTTTGAGATTTGGTTTAATGTCATCCTTGCACTTAAGATAAAAATGTTCAATGTCATCTTTTCACTTAAGCAAAAGTATTAATTGAAGTGGAGCCCAATATATTTACAAGAAATAATGATATAGACTCAAAATCTTGTTTGAATTTAAGAATCAAAATAAAGTTTTAACTTAAATTTTTTAGTTGCTTCAATTAGTTTTTTTACTTGCTTCAATTAGTTTTTTTACTTGCTTCAATGATTTAATTTATGAATTAAATGAATTAAAACAATTGGCAAGTTCCCACCAAAAGAGTAAATAAAATATGATTAACTTTAGTTAATCATTTAAATCAAAGGAAGAAACTTTAATTAACTAATATGAAAAATCAAAACTCAAGAAAATCTTCTTCTTGATTCTTTCAAAATCATCTGTAAGAGTTCAACAATGAAAGTAGAGATTGAGGAAGCAATAACATAGATCAAGAATGGGAAAGGGAACAAGAAAGATAATGAGAAAGGACGAATAAGAGGAATTGAGATCGGGAGAGAAGAGAGAGATCAAGTGCGGATGTATAGAATAGAAGGGGAGAAGGCTTTGGGTAAGGAGTAGAGGAAAGGTAATTGTTTAATTTCATATTCTAACAATAATTTTTATATTTAATTAAAATAAATGAGTCTCGTTTTGTCAAATTAATCTAATATAATTGATCATCTCATAAAAAACCTTTTAATACTAGTTGCTTTAATTTCCACGTCATCTCAAGTAAAGGAAAAACAAAATATTTAAGAAAAAATAATGTCATCTTATCACTTATTGACAGAAAATGATTGATAAATAATTTTTTTGTATAATTTTTTTATATAATTTTACATGTCATGGGTTTTTTTACTTTATTAAAATCTATAATATTATATACATTTATTTATTAAATAATATATAAAAATTATATAAAAAAATAATAAGAAAATGCTGTGTCCATATCATTACCCTTAACTGATGGACTGAAGTGATGGATAAACTAAAAAGTTAAACTAAAAAAGAGATTTCTTTAGTTGAGGGACTCAAAAGGACTCCGTACAAAAGTTTAGGGGTGAAGAATACTTGCGGGTAAAGGAAACATGGGCAAATTTTAGGCAAAACCCTCAAATCGCCCCTTGAAAAATATGGGTAGGGACGGATCCACCCTCCAAAAAAAAGCAGGGACAAAAGACACCCTCAAAGTATCGATTCACCCAAATCGATCACTATTTGACAGATGACGTTGTTACCGTTAAAAATTCCGTTTGACCTATGATGACATGGCATTTTTCTTACACCTGGAGACTACGTGTACCATTTGTGCATTTTTTTACACCATGTCCCATGGGTCCCTCTCTTTTTTACTTTCCACATCATCTAGGTTCCACAATATACCTAATTTCCCCATTTCTCGTTTCACCGATTAAGAACCAAACCTAATTTCCCAAATTAATTTCCTTATAATAAACGAAAAAGAAAAATCGAAACCCTAAATCTCAAAGAAATTTTTGAGAAAATCAAACCTAATTACTCATAGAGTTCTTGAGAAGATGATCCCAAACAAACTTCTGCAGTCTTTTTGTCAATGATCCTCCTTCACACATTCTGCAAGATGACCAGCAATTTTCAATAAAGAGATTTCAAAATAAGGGGCTAAGATGCAGTCGAAGCTGCTGCAATTAGAGGTTCAAAGACATACCTTGTGAAGGAGAGCAAGGAGTCGGCCTGATCCATCGCTAGGAAGGTGGAGAAAAGGCAGTGGGCTGGCGTGGCGACGGAGGGCGGTCGGGCACTTCATAATCTACTATGGCTGCTTGGCCGCTTTTGGGTCGGTACGGGAGGTGAATATTAGGAAGCAAGCGCTGATTCTTTTATGAGTTTTGAACTTTGGGTTGGTGAAAGGTGATGGAAGCAACTATAGGTGAGGTTCATTGCGAACCCAAACATTTGGGTATTTTTCATTGTTCTGAGGTAAGTTTTTCATTTGGGTATTTCTTATTTTCATAAGATTATGTTTCTGTAGTGATTTGTTCTTGCTTGACTAGTCATGAAGGACATTGAGGCTTGTAGATCTAGCTCAAAAAGAACGTGGGGAAATGGGAATAGAAACACAGGAGCCAAGATATGCGTTTGAGGAATGGCATAATTTCATAAATTTAAGTGGATATGAAGGTTAATTTAGGAAATATTGGTTAAAAAGGAAAAAGAATGAGGTCCATTAGCCACGGTGTCAAAAATAACCATGTCAACGCGAGCAAACGAATTTTTTAACGGTAATGACGTCAGCAGTTAAATAATGAGGTATTTGTATTGATCGATACTTTGAGGGTGTTTTTTGTCCCTGCTTTTTTTTGGAGGGTGGATCCGTCCCTACCCATATTTTTCAAGGGGCGATTTGAGGGTTCTGCCTTTTTTTTTTTGTATTTTTTTCAAAACCTAATGTGGTTAGGCATTATTTGGGAGGGTGTACTATAGTGGATTGTGACTATAATTTTAGTTTTTTTTTTTTAAATCTCAACAACTATAAAATATTAATTAAAATTAATAAAAATAGAGAAAAATGTTATTAATTGAACATCTAATAAATTAA